ATGCTGGAATCAGGCTACAGAGTGGCCCAGGCATGATAATCTCCTCTGCTTCCAGGTGTCCTCAGTGGGTTGGGTGTTGGGTGCACTGCCATGCCACTCTGTAACCCAGGCCATTGCTCTTCTAAAAGCAGGAGACTTGAACTTTTAGCTGTGTGAGTCGTGCTGACACCAAATAGCTGAAACACAGATGGTTGTGGCAGAAACAGCAGCCTAAGGCACACAGATTGACTTGCTTGTTTTGGCATGTTCTTGCCATATGGCACTGAAGTCCTGTTCTATATGGAACAGGAGCCTCACCTGCCCAAAAAGCCAGTCCTCCCTGTTGGGTGCTGTTGCAGTGCATCTGGGAGAGCTCCACTGAGATTCAGTGGTGGTGCAGGTCAGAAATGTCTCTGCTTAACACCCAGAAACAGAGACCTGCCACTTTTCCTTAAGCTTGTGCAGAGCAGTTTTGGACAGCCATGGTGCTGCTGGCCTCGTTCACGTGGGGATGTGGGATACAGGCATTGCTCACCCCAGGGGAAACAACAGTGACACAGAACCTCAGAGTGACTTCAGCAGCAGGACCAGCCATGAATGGGTCGCTGAAATAATTGTGAAACACAGTGAAGCTTCCTTAACCCCAGCTGTAGTCACAGGGGATTTGTATGATTAGCTGAAGTCTGTGTTCATGGTGGGCCATTCCCTATCCCTGACAATGGGAGGCAGCCCGGGCCTTGGCTCCAAGCCTTGAACATGGCTCTCCCTGGGGAGGAGCAGCACAGGATCCTCTGAGTGCTGTATATCCCTGCCCATGGCAGGGGGGTTGGAACATGAGGATCTTTGAGGTCTCTTCTGACCCAAATCATTCCAAGATTCCATGTTGTCCTGAATGGGAAGGCCTTAGGTTTTGCACTGTTTTCTTTCTGTTTGAGAGAGAGGAATGGGTTTGGGTTTTAAGAAACAAACCAACACCAGTCTTAGAACAAAAGCAGTTCTGCTTTTTCCCCAGTGTGTGGATTTCTTACAGCAGTCAAGCCCCATCTTTCCAAGGGGGATTTGAGGGGCTGGAGGGCCCACTCCCCTCACTGCAGAAATGGCAGCCATGGAGCAGGATGACTGTAACTCCCAGCTTGTGAGTAAACATGTCTGTACTGAGAAGATTCATCCTGTTAAGGGGCTTCCTTTAGGAGACTCGAGCCAGATTGTCTCACCTGGCTTTTGTTGTAAGCCCTTTCCTCTCTCAGTTTCTCTCAGCCTGGGTATCCTGCTCCTGGAGTGGGCCAAGCTTGTCTTTATTGCAGCCTCTTGAGTCTTCATGGAGAGCCAGGTCTGCTCACAGTGATACACATCAGGATATTTCTGGTTTGAGCCAAGGCCCATGCTGGGTTTTTTTTTGATAGGGAAGGAAAACCTTTACTGGAATCCTACAAGGTTTTATTTCATTTCCTCTGCAGTCATGAGCAGTGGTAACTGCTGTAGGTTCCCTCATGGTAATGATTCCTCCCACTGGTCCCTGGTTTTCACACTCATGCTGAAGGTGATCCCTTGAGCTCAACTCAGCAGTGTGTGATGGTCCAGCTGCCACTTTCTTGGAGGTTGACCCATCTCCTCTCCCTTCCACTCTGAAGGTGTTCAAAAGGAAGTAATAAAGTTAATATTTTCATTGTACAGACATGATCTATCCAAATTCTTCACGTGTTTTTGTCTTTTAAAATATGTGCTCCCCTGAGACTTGGCTCAGGGGCTGAGGAAGTGTGTTACTTGTGATCACATCTTCGAGACACCTCAGTGTGTTAACACAAGAATGTGTTTGTGAGGAGCTTGTCGTGTAGTCTGGAGTTTATCAGTCCACTTCTTACATGGTAGAAAGATAAAATTAGTTCCAGAGAAAGAGAGATGTTGGAAATGACACAAAATCCTTCTGGTAGAAAGAGGAGTAATGGTTTGCAGCCATCAGGTATTTCAGCTCACACAAGGGGATCAGTACTCCAGATGGAAATACCAACATTCATTGTACAGTACACCTCCCCCTGATCAGGGAGGTGCTTCCAGAGGTGGTGTAGCTTCATCAACCTTTTTTTGGAGCTGCCAAAAATGTGGCTTTGCACACACAAGGAGAACTACAACTCCACTCTCGTCCAGGAGGATGATAACAGGGAGATGGAAGGAAATCAACTCATTGGTCAAGAAAGCTTCTGACTCCCCTCCTCAAACTCTGCAGCTGCTCCGCTCCTGAGAGTTTCCTTCGGGTCCCACATAAGCATTTGTTTGGCATTTAGGTTCAGGACTCCTCGGCTGCATGTCTGGCTCCGAGCAGGATGGTGCTCAGTCCTGGGAGCTGCCTGCTGGTCTTTGGCTTCTGCCCAGGAGGGGGGTCAGTCAGCTCATCAGAGCACAGTTCAAGAGGAAAACCTTGGGTTTGTGGGTTTAGACCAGCAAAAGTTCTGGTGTCCACAGGTTAGGCAGAAATCTGAGGAGTCAAGTGTGCTGTGAAAACCCAAAGTGATCAGAGGTGTCGCGCTGACAGTCCTCTCATTTCTCAGGTAGGCTGAAAGTGCCTTTCTTTCTCCACCACAGAGATTAAAAATGGCAAAAGAAGATGTTAAATGAGCAGCTGAGGTTGGAAAAGGTTCTTCCCCCAGAGGCTGGTTGGGCACTGCCCAGGCTCCCCAGGGCAGTGGGCACAGCCCCAAGGCTGCCAGAGCTCCAGGAGGGTTTGGACAACGCTCTGAGGGCCAGGGTGGGATTGTTGGGGTGTCTGTGCAGGGCCAGGGGTTGGATGGATGATCCTTTTGGGTCCTTTCCAACTCAGGATATTCTATGACTGAATGATCTGCTCATCATGTGTCTGTGCTGGTTTTCTCATGGGGCTGAGATGCCACTGGATGCTCCCATGTAACCCATGGTGCACAGATGGGCTTCCAGAACGGAGCTGAAACAGGACCTGGCACAGCCTGAGCCTCCAGCTGGGAGGTTGGAATGGCAGCAGCACCATCACCCACGATGGGCAGGAGCTTACAGTGCTGCCCTGGCATTTCCTGAGGGAATTGTAAAGGACAGCTCTTTATTGCTGGAAACATTAATAGTGTCTGATGGAAAGATGACTGTGAGGGAAACCTCATCTGAAGCAGAGGTTACATGGAAGGGATTTTTACTGGCTGCAGTGGTCATGGTGCTCCAGACCTGTGCTTTCGTGGGGAAAAAAATCAATGACTCCGGGCACTTTACATCCTGGGAAACCATCAGGATTCTCTCGTGGCTGTCCCATGGGATTTCCAAGAAGCGTCATTCTCACAGTCCTCTGGCAATATGCAGAGTTCCCTTTTTTTCCCCCATCCTAATCTGTGGGGTGTGCATCCGACCTCATAAAACCATTTTTCAGCTTCACTGTTAGTAGTTTTCTCCCTCTCCTCTCTGGGAGCCTCTGGCCTGCTGGCAGCAGCATTGTCCAGCGAGGTTTGAAGCTTGGCACACTGTCAACAAACCTTCAGCTCCCCTTTCAATCAAACATGGTAATGCTGAGATCCAACTTGGATTCCATCCCAAGGTTCACCATAATCATCCTTGTATAATAGGAAGTCCAAACAACCCCAGGAAATAATTCAGATGTGACTGGTGCCTTGAGTGGAATAAAGAAGTGCCTAGAAGAGACATTAAGAGCCTCAGCTTTAACTCTTTTCATAATTATGCGCTCCGAAGGAGCGGAGGCTTTGGAGATAAAGGGATTACATGCATCTCATGAGGTCTGCAGAGATGGGACAGCATCTTCTACCCACATTTTCTCATTTTTGTTTTACTGCCATTGCAATTGCCACATTTGGGGGAAGAATGTTGCAGAGCAGGCTCCCCTCTAACCCTGCAGGTCCCTTCCAATCTGGCACAGGTAAATTGAATCCGTCTCCCCTTAGGGATGAGCTTTTGGAAGAGCCCGTTGGTAAGAGCAGTGGGGGTGAGAGTTTAATTGGATTAAGATGCATTTGAGCAGTGCTTGTGCTGTGGGCTGTGCTCTGTGGCTGCCGGAGGGAGCCACACTCAGAGCTGGGCATGCCCTGGGATACTCTTCCAGCCCTGGCTGCCTCTCTGCCAAGGAAAAAGCCCATGTCTCAGAGGTGTGGATCTCGGTGTAACCCAGCACAGGGGTCACCAGGGTGTGAGCAAACCATGTCTCGAGCTGGTGTCCTACCTCTGGCTGTGAGCTGGGACCCACAGCCAGGCAAGGGCTTGGCTTTTCCTCCCCAAACCCAGCAGCCGAGGCAGGGATGTGGTGGGCAGGGTCCAGCTGGGGCAGGGATGTGGTGGGCAGGGTCCAGCTGGGGCAGGGATGTGATGGGCAGGGTCCAGCTGGGCACCCCACCTTCACTCAGCTCTTGCTTGGGGTTTGGGTGCCTTTGGCCTGTGCATCTTATGCTTTGATACCATTATAAGTGCTCGTTTGCTTTTCAATGTCTTTGTCATTTTTAAGGTTATTTAAAGGTTTGCTTCTCTTGACAACTTCCTCCATGACAAAGTTGCACATCTGTTAGTTTCCAATAAACATTTCCTTCTCCCTGGTATATACTTGGGAATTTTTAGTTTTGTAGGTTTGCTCTGCTGCACTGGGAAGGGATAATTTGGAGTCCCCAGTTCACTCCCTTCATGCTACTCATTATTTTATGTGCCTCTCATGTGGTCTCTCTCCTTTTCATTACTAATCAGGTCTAGTCTTTTCAATCCTCCTTTGTGTGATAGTTTCATTTTACAAAAGCTGAACTAGTTTCTATCAGCCCAGTTGATGTGATCTTACTCATATCAAAGGTGTTTAACAGCCGCAGTCCCGTGTACTCACTGCAAGCTGAACTTAAATTGTGTCAAGTTCTGCTCTGCTTTGCGATGGCAAGTGGGAATGTTTGTTACAGCTGTCTTTAAATTTAAATTTGGATGTTTTAAATGAATTAAATATGAACATGAATAATGCAGCTGGTAATGTAGCCTTTCTGCAATTAAATGCAAACTTTTTCATTTTGTCTCTCTGCTTTCAGGTTTTGCTATGCCGCAGTGTTTGTACTGACTCTGCTGTCTTGGAGGAGTGATGGGGAACTAGAGCCCATGACAGTTCAGTGGAGCCCTTGGCACTTTTGATATCTCGGTGAGTGAAAGTTGTTTGAAACTGTGGGAAAGGCACTTTATCTGCTACTAAAGACAGCAAATCAGTTGGCCTTTTTACATTTTTAAGGTAGCATCCTGCTGAAATGAATTTGCACATTGATCTGTCCTTTCAGGCTATAAATTCTGGAAACCAACACTGTAACACTGTGGTCCGTGCTTGGGAGATTATCTTGATCTCCACAAGCAGGACAAACACAGCTTTTGAAAACAAGGGGAGTTTTAACTCCGGTGTGCAGTTCTGTATAATTGTCAGGTTCTGGAGATGGAGCATTGCAGTGTGTGCTGGGCTGTGGGAACCCCAGAGGTTTTGTTTGAGGCAGCAGTAAGATTGTGTCCTTTGTGCCATGGACCGAGCCAACGGGTCCCCAGCAGCAACATGTTTGTGTCTGAGGTCATTCCAGATCTGTCTCTGTGGATGGATCATTTTCCCCCCTTGGATACCAAACTGTATCTCCTGCTATTTATTACTTCCATGTTTTTTTGGTCTGCAGTGCCTGAGTGGAGCAGAGGCCGTGTCCCTGGGTACTGCCGTGCTCCTGTCCTGCAGTGCTCTGAGAGCCTGTTCTGCCATTCCCTTTCTTCCCTCTGCACTGAAGTCTGTCCTCACCGGGGCATTTCAGCCTTGGTGAAACCTTTACAGTGATTCCTCTTGCCTTCCAATCTGTTGTCAGGGAGATAAAATCCTTGGGTGTTTCAGGTTGGAAGGAGTTTATGGAGGCTGTCTGTCCAGCACCACATGCAGAGCTGGCCTGACTTTGAAATCAGACTCAGTTACAAGGTTAGATCAGGCTGCTTGGGGAGGCAGCTGGTGATGTTTGGAATATCTCCAAGAGTGGAGATTTTACAGCTCCTCTGGGCAACTATAAATTACAATCAGTGGGAATTATCAATTCCCAAGGCCTGTGTTAGTAAAACTCAGGGGCAGCAGAGGGGCAGCTCCAATCTCTGCTCTCTGTGACCAGTGACAGCACCCAGGGAACGGCTGGAGCTGTGTCAGGGCAGGCTCAGGTTGGATCTCAGGCAAAGGTTCTTCCCCCAGAGGCTGGTTGGGCACAGCCCCAAGGCTGCCAGAGCTCCAGGAGGGTTTGGACAATGCTCTGAGGGCCAGGGTGGGATTGTTGGGGTGTCTGTGCAGGGCCAGGGGTTGGATGGATGATCCTTTTGGGTCCTTCCCAACTGTGACTCTGCTCCACCACCTCCCTGGGCAGCCCATTCCAATACCTGACAGCCCTTCCTGTGAAGAAATTCTTCCTGATGTCCCTGTGAACCTCCCCTGGCACAACTGGAGGCCGTTTCCCCTTATCCTGTCACTAATTACCCAGGAGATTGACCCCCCCTGGCTCCACTGTCCTGCCAGGGAGCTGTAGAGAGTGAGAAGGTGCTCCCTGAGCCAAATTAGGGTTATTCCCTGCCTGAGGGTGGAAGGTGCAGCAGTGCACCCTCGTCTCCAGCCACAGGCTTCCACAATCCTGTGTGTGTAGGTACTTCAGAAAGTCCCACAGACAGAAGAGGGGCAGTGCCAGAGATTGCAAATGCTTGTCTGCTGCCTTTATATAACGCCTTTCAGCCTGGGTTTTATGTCTGGGGGACTTTTCCTGCCAGACTGCTAGTCTTTAATAAAAATGAATGAAGAAAATTATGAAAAGAAGCTTTAAATGTTGTAAATAACCTTTCACATGTAGGTTACCTTCCACTATTGAAAGGGAAAGAAACTTTACTCCTTTCACAAGTGTGTACAGACACACACAGTATTTAGAAGAGAGGCAATAAGTGACTACTGTGCACCTCTTGATTTGGATTAAAAAACAACCAGGGATTTTTTTCCTTTAGTATTTAATTCCTTCCGTATTTTTCTTCTCAGAGTATTGCTCAGTGTTGCATGTAAAGGCTGTAGTTTATAGTGCTGTTACAGAAAATTAAAGTCTTTATTTCTCTTAGGTTTGGAAAAAGCCTGGTTTTCAAAATCCCGACTTCTTGCCAAGTTGGAGCTGTAAATAACCCTTTAAGCAGCGACTCGGCACTGTGTCCTGTGACAGCTTCCTGTTCCATCCTCCTCCTGACTGCCCCACTGTGAACAAAATGGAGTTATATTGACACAATTAATCTTTCATTAGTTAGTGGAGTGTCAAAACATGCTTTTCCTGCCTTTCCCGAGGGCTTGTTTGTGGCTCAGCCATTCATTTGGATATTTTCTGGCAGGCCGTGGTGAGGCTCGGGGTGTGCAGCGGGCACTGCCCTGGGAGAGCGGCTGTGCTGGGCACTGGGCTCCCTCTGTGTGCCCAGCACACATCTCCCAAGAGCCCTGATTCTCAGGAATATTTGCTTATAACAAGAATGCAAATGCTTCTACTTGTTGGGGACAGTCCAGCCAGTTTTCCTCCAACCAGGAAAAAAGAATTTGTAGCACAGCTTGGACACTCGGGGCAGTGCTAACAGCAAAAGTATTTCTTGGGTCACTGTCCAGTTTCTCATCCTTATTCCCCAGAACTTCTATGAGCAATTTGAATTGCAAGTGGAGAGCTGGGGATTGCTGTGCTGCTTTGCCAGAGTTAATGTTATGTTTCCATGTGTTTTCTTTCATAAATTTCAGCTCTGCTTCCCTTTGTTAGTGGGTGGGAGCAGCCTCTCCTTCCGCACACACGCTCCAGACCCACTGTGGGGTGAGCACAGAGATGGGCATGTGCTCCTTGTGCTTATTTATGCTGCTCCTGCTGCCATGAATTTGAAGTTGTCCACAAATTGGAGGAAGTCTTGTAGTTTCAGGGGGTGACATGAACTGTGAGTGCTCTGTGCAACCCCGGGTGACGGAGCATGTGTTTCCCCCTCTGTGGGATGAGTTCATGGTTCAGTGTGCTCCAGAACGGGGAATTTTCTCATCTTTATTTCTTTTGTCCTAGACACCTTCAGTTCTCTAAGAGCAAGCCAGTCCCGGGCTCAGGACAGCAGCAGGTGGTAGAATGCGGAAACCAGGCCCTCAGAAAGGTGAGCAGTGATTTGGGCACAGCCGAGGGCTGCTCGGGAGCTGGGGCAGCCTGGAGGACCCAGTGCCTCGGGGGTGGGCTGGAAGATGTGATTGGAAGCCCAAAACCTGCGTTTGTCTCCATCAGTGTGCAGAGAACAGCCCATCAATCCACCCCCAGCATGGGCTGAGCAGAGTCCCTTCCTGGGGCACCCCTGCGGCTCGTGGGGCGCAGTGTCAGCAGCGAGGGTGCTCTGCAGAACCCACGGCACACACCATCTGCCAGTGCTCCCAGTGTGAGGCAAACTGGCTCTGCTGGCACAGGCCTCCCCCTTCTAATGAGGCATGAAACCAGAGACCAGCCTACCTTGTGGAGAGGAAATCTGTCCCAGGCTCCCTGGTGTCCCTCGGCCCCTCGCAGCCCTACACGTGCTACCTGGGATGTGCATCCCCAACGAAAAGGGTGCAGCCGAGCCTGCTGCCTGCAGCTGAGCTGCTCTGGCTTCTTGTGCTTCACAGCACTATTGATTTCCGTTGGTGTTGTGCCCTGCGTGTGCCTTGGGCTGCAGTGATCTCATCACAGCTCCCGGGGCTGGGGGAAGGGAGGGCGGGAGGACGGAGCATCCTCCGCAGCTCTTTGTTCACATCTGCTCCACACTCCCGAGGTTTATTGCAGGAGATTTCTATGCTCAATTTCTCTCCTCCTTTTTTTTTTTAAGTGTCTCCTTTGCTTCTGTGGTGGTTCATCTTACGGCAGCATTAGCCTCTTCCTAACACTGCTTGTCCTTTAATGAAGTGAAAATAAATGAAGGAAAGCAGGGAATGGGGAGACCCTGCTGCGAGGCAGCTGGAGGGCTTGGCAATAAAGGAGGCAGGTTGATTAGTCAGCAGTGTGGCTGTGGACTGGGCTGACTGGATTTAGCCTCATACACAGCTTGTTCTCTGTGCTCATGGAGCCTGGTGCCTGCAGCCAGCCTGGCTGTGTGCCCTGTGCTGCCAGTGCTGTGACATAGGTTGCAAAGGCAACACCTGCATCGTGCACACGTGGGTTTCTGTCCTACTTACCTGCTTTTTTAATAATGCATTGAACTTTCACTGTTTCTTTATTTGTCTGCAGAAATTCTTGTGTTTCTCTCCCTCTCTGCTGCTTTTGTATCATGCTTAATGAGGATTTTTGCATGCTAAAGGTTAAGAACAAAATGTACCTTCGCCTGCAGAGTGTGGTGAGAGGCTCCTTTGAGTGCACAGATGCTATTAGAGCTGTCCTGCAGCACTGAGGGGAGCCTTACCCACCCAGGGGGCTCTTTGCTTCTGACTTAAATACTTTATGTCCTTTATTCTTGCTTTCTTAGGGAGGTGGCAGAATACTGTCCTTCATGGTAATGCATTTGTAGGAAGGGTGTCCTTCAATCCTTTTCATTCATTTATGTCTCTCCAAGGAGGTTCTTTGTCTGGTCTGTGTCTGGTGACGCTGTGGCCACACTCCATATGTCCCTCATGTTCATTTAAGGGATGCTGATCTGGCATCCCTCCGTTGGGATGGAGGCTGTTGGAGGCAGGGGTGGGCATCCCCTGCTTCTTGCTCTGTCACTTTCCAGAGCTGTAAAACCTGTATGCCATCCTGCCCACTGTGCTAAAAAGAGCATGTCAGGAAGAGAAGATTGCAAAAATAATTGTCCAAAAGCAATTCCAGACATGTTAAGGCACCCCAGGTCACTCCAGCAGCAGCTCCTGGCCTGCCTCTTCCAGCTGCTTGTCAGGAGGTTTTGAAACTTTTCCTGTTTTCTTTGTCCTTCCTTTCACAAGGAAGTGCTTTTTGTGGGGGCAAGGCACATTTAATAGGGCAATACCAAATTGCTGTTTACAGTAGCCCTAAAGTGCTCTGTAAAATAAAGGAGCTGGAGTGCAGCAGCACTCCCAGGGTGCCCAGTCGAGCAGCAGCAGGTGGAGGAGCTGGCACAGAGATCTGCCATCCCTCCGTTGGGCTGGAGGCTGCTGGAGGCAGGGATGAGCATTCCCTGCTCCTTGCTCTATCCCTTTCCAGAGCTGTTTTTGGGAACTGCTCTCCAGAGCTGGTGCTGCTTTGCTGTGCTCTCCTCTGAGCTGGGCAGGACACATGGAAACCTGGTGTTGTGCATGGAAAGGGCAGTTGTGCAGATTTTCAGGGAGGTCCTCTCCCCATCTCCAGAGAGGGCCAAGGCTGTTTGTGTGAAATGACCAGGAGTTGATACCCAAGGAGAGATTCAGGCTCCACTTCTCGGTGCCCAGGATCCATGTGAACCATTTTCAGTGGCTGTTGTGTTTGTTCCTCTCGAGCTCTTCTTCTCATGGCTAAAATGATGGAGCTCTAGCAGTTTGCTGCTCTTTGTGTTATTGCTGATCACTGGGGGAGAACAGTAGCTGGTGGGGACTAGGCAGGGACCAAGGTGCAAACGCAGGTACCTCATGTCAGGTATGTGCATGAGCTGTGGGGAGGAAGGGAGCACACCCCAGAGATGGGAGCAAATCATCCATGTCACCTGGGGGCATGACTGGGAGCTCACTCTGCTCCTCTGAAGGGCCTGTAAAGCAGGCAGTGTGGAGGGGTGCATCAGCTGGCTCCTTTCCCTCACACAAATGCTCTATTTCTTGTCTCAGCCATAGATTGGAAAGATGGTAAGAAGCACAAGTACAGCCGCCCGTCAGAGTCTCCCTCCCAGTACCAAGGTAAGAGAGCTCCCTTCTCCCCCTTCCTCCTCTCCCTTCTTCTTCCCCGCTCCTTCCTTCCGCCTTCTTTCTCTCCCCCAGCTCACATGGGCTGTGTGCACTCAGCCTTTGGGGTGTTGGGGGCTCCACTGCAGTTTCCCTGTGCTCCACGTCCTGCACCACTGGCAGATGGCAGAGGATGGGCTGTTTTTCAGTGGCCACACTGACCTGAAATGGAGCTTCCTGTGAAATGCAGCGCTCACGGTGACCCAGCACCCCAACCCTGCACCCACTGCATGCCAGGGCCGTGGCCCAGGGGGGCTGCAGGGGGGCTGGGGTGCACACGGCTGCTCAACAAGTGCGTGGTGAGCAGTGAGGATCAGAGGTCACCTTCCTGCAAGAACCTCTGTGCAGCTCATCACTGCCCGAAACTTGGGTGTACATCCTGGTAGTTGAGGCCTGGAGAAGAGAAGGCTCCAGAGAGAACTTGGGGCCCTTTCCAGTGCCTAAAGGGACTCCAAGAGAGCTGGAGAGGGACTTTGGACAAGGGCCTGGAGTGACAGGACAAGAAGCAATGGCTTCCCACTGCCAGGGACAGGGTTGGATGGCATACTGGGGAGAAACTCTTGGCTGTGAGGGTGGGGAGGCCCTGGCACAGGTTGCCCAGAGAAGCTGTGGCTGCCCCAGCCCTGGAAGCGTCCAAGACCAGGTTGGACAGGGCTTGGAGCAACCTGGGCTGGTGGAAGGTGTCCCTGCCCATGGCAGGGGGTGGAACGAGATGGGCTTTAAGGTCCCTTCCAACCCAAACCTGTCTACGATTCTGTGATTCTAAACAGTGAGGGGGTGAAACTGCAGCATCTTTCTGGCATGGCTGGAAGGATTTCTGTTCAAAGCTAACACTGAATTGGGACTCCTCTGAGGAGGAGCAGAGCAGAGCAGACAGTCCTGGTGGTTGAAACCTCTTAGTTTTGACTCACACGTTCTCACATTTTGCTGAGCAGGACAGGGAGTGATGGGACTCCTGTTGTGGGCTGTAGCTGTTCCCAGTGGAGCATGTGCAGGCAGATTGATGGCTGGGCAGAGTGCCTGGGAATGGGAACGGTGGGACAGGCAGGAACTGTGCGGAGCCGGTGGCAGAGCTGAGCCCCGGGAGCCACGTTCAGACATCAGGGACAGCCCCCGTGGCCCGAGATCTGCGAGCCCAGACGATGCTCTGCTCGTTTTCATACTGGGCTGCTTTCATGTGCTGCCTTGCTGCTCCTTAGCAGCCACACATATGGGCTGCAGACTTCAATGGGATGCCTTGATCTGAGTAGGGCACGTTCTCCTTCACAGATGTGACCTGAAACGCACATGTATTGTTTCAGTTGGATTGATGACCCCTCAGGAGCCGAAATGCTAATGGAGCCCAAACCAGACTTTAGTTAAAGATATAAACAGAAACTCCATCTTCATTTAAATTCTGGGCAAAGGTTCAACGTTAAATGCAACATGAAGAGAATCCAAACATGAGGGTGCAGGGCTGCATTGTTCACAACTACTGGAGTTTGACCCCTTGGGTGTGCAGAGTGTTTTGTTTGGAGTAAATATTTTTGAAGGTTAAGACATCAGAGCCCAAATCTGACTCTCTGCCTGCAAGTAATATCTCCCTTCGGCACGAGCACACGGCAGGGAGCTTTCCCAAGGCAAGCACAAGTGACAGACCATCACCCCAGTGGCATTTCCAGGGCCGAGTCCCAGGGAGTCACACAGGTTCACAGTCCTTGGCTTTTATTTGGCTCACAGATGTTATTGCAAAAATGGGGTGTTTCTCATTAAGTGTTTTTCTCCCATTTCTTCCTGTGAAAAAGATCTGATGTGTTGGAGAGAGCTGGAGAGGGACTTTGGACAAGGGCCTGGCATGCCAGGACAAAGGGGAATGGCTTCCCACTGCCAGAGGGCAGGGTTAGATGATATTAGGTTAGATGATATTAGATGATATTAGGGTGAAATTCTTCCCTGTGAGGGTGGGCAGGCTCTGGCACAGGTTGCCCAGAGAAGCTGTGGCTGCCTCATCCCTGGAAGTGTCCAAGGCCAGGTTGGATGGGGCTTGGAGCAACCTGGGCTAGTGGAAGGTGTCCCTGCCCATGGCAGGGGGTGGAATAAGATGAGCTTTAAGGTTCCTTTCAACCCAAACCATTTTATCATATGATTCTGTGTGTGTTATCTGGAGGAACAGTCCTTTCCAATGGGGATCCTTCCAGTGGTATGTTCTGCAAGGCAAGGGAGGGAACATGAAAGAGCAGGCAGAGACCAGATGAAATAGAGGGTGATTTTAGGGCTGGTAGGACAGTTTGCATGTGGTGCTGGAAGCCAGCAGCAGTGGAGCAAGCATTCCCCTTTGCTTTTCAGGGCTAGAGAAGATTTCATTCCCTACAGTCAGCTCTGGCCTTGGACACTCCTGCTCTGTCACCAGTAAAAAGGACTGGCTGATGTTTCTTCAGGAAGCAAAGTGATTCACTGGCAAGTGGGGAAAAGCCATCAGAGTTTTTTGACCAACACTCAGGAACCAGGGTTACGTGCCCAGGCCAGGTCAGAAACAAGCATCTTGCAGACTAAAATGTCCTGTCCCTCCACAGTAAGGCATCCAATTTATCAATATGGGTAAGAATATTGAGAGAATATAGAATACGAGACAGTTGGTCAGTGCTAAGGAGAAAGCCAGGCAACACAGTGTCAGTTTTTCCCTCTGGCCTTGCAGCTCCATCCCCAGCGAGCCTGTGGAATGGCAGCAGCAGCACAGGCAGCTGTGGTGTCCTGGCTGACAGCACAGCTGGTGTGGAGCTCCAGGGGAGACCTGTCTGGAGCTGGGTGTGGACAGTGAGCGGGGATCAGTGTGGGGAGCAGGGTTTGGGTACAGGGGAGCTGAGGTTGAGAGGGTCGGGTGTGATGTGTCCCTTTTCAACCACATGCCCTTCCTCGAGGACAGAGCTCAGGGCTTGTGTTCTGCTCCCCTGTTAACAAACCCCCAATGCATCCTGCTTTTTCTGTTTTATTGGCAACCAATGCTTTGTTGTAAAAAACCCCCAACTTTAGTGTTATGCCATTTTTGTCTGATTCTTCCTGCAGTCCTTAGGTTGAAGCTGATTGTGTTTGGTTAAGTTTGTGTACTTTGAAATTCCTGCTTGAAAATATTATATTGTGATACTATTACTGAATTCATTTAAACCCATTCCCTACATTCTGTGCAGGATCTCCTCTCATGCTAAGGGAGTGATGACAGCCTCCAGTCTGCAGTTTTTATCCTGGTTTGAGAGTAATCCTGAAAAAGAAGTGCAGGCTCTACCTGTGCTAGTTGTGCCATCTGTGCAGGGGAATGGCCAATAGTGAACAGAGGGGGAGGGAGGGAAGGCTGAATGCTGCTGTATCAGCTCAGTCTTTTTTTAGAAGTATTTCTGCTGCTCCTGTTTTTCTGTGCAAAATAAATCACCAGAACTATGAGTCGTAAGACTCAGAGAATCACAGAATAACCTGAGTTGGAAGGGACCCTCAAGGATCATCCATCCAACTCCTGCTCTGCACAGGACACCCCAACAATCCCACCCTGGCCCTCAGAGCGGTGTCCAAACCCTCCTGGAGCTCTGGCAGCCTTGGGGCTGTGCCCACTGCCCTGGGGAGCCTGGGCAGTGCCCAACCAGCCTCTGGGGGAAGAACCTTTGCCTGAGATCCAACCTGAGCCTGCCCTGACACAGCTCCAGCCGTTCCCTCAGGTCCTAAAGAACTTGCAATTCTAGTGTTGTGTGTGTCTTCATATGGTGGTTGAGTCCCAATGGGCTCTAGAATTAATCTCAAATAAGTTCCATGTCCAAACACTATTTTTGGAGGCCCACAGCTGTCTCGGGAGTTCCCTGCTCCCGCTGGGATTGTGCAGGGTGGATCCCAGCTCTGGGGTGAGCTGCTGTGGGAAGCAGGAGGGCCTTGCTTGGTGTGGAGGGAATGAAAAGTGGAAAGATTAAAATGGAGTGCAACCAGCTGAGGAGAGGGGAGGGTTCAGTGGGGTTTTTTTAAAACAAATAAATTGTCAAGCACAGCTGATCTGCTCAAGCTGCTGGATCAGGACCTGGTGCTGTCACCTGGGCACCCCCTGTGCTCCAGGGCCTCAGAAGGGCTACCCTGGTCTAAGATGAGCCCAGATCAGCAGCCAGAGTTAAGGGGTGGGATGCATAAGGCATTTCCAGGCCAGGAGTGCCTGGCTTTGCTTTGCCTGGGTGTTTACTACACTTAATTCATTCAACGAGTTTCATTGAGGTAACTGAGTGTAAAATTGTATCTTCAATTAAACCAAAAGATTTTTGGTTTTATGAGAACATCATTGCAGTAACTCACTGAATTTCTTCATTCACCCAATGTGAGGCTGTGGCTGAAAGGCAAATATGTGCCAGTGGCTGGAACAGAGTACTCTGGGGCATGGAGGGCTGCTGTCAGTCTGTAAACAGCAATATTCAGCCAGTGTGGCAATGAAACTGTATTTTTTCTGTTCATTTTCCCTATATTTAACAGTGTGGTAGTCATCTGCATGGGAGGTGGCAAGAAAGCAGCATTCCTTGTATTTATTTGGAGCTCATAGATGATGAAGGCTCCTCTGTGCACACAAGGCAGCTCTGAAGCAATGTGTGCTGACCTTACTGCCTGAATTTTCAGAGGTGTGGTGTGTGTTGCAGTAGCTGAAGTGGCTCTTAATGTAGCTTTTGTTTTGAAAATAGGCTGATTAAAAACTTGCCATGACTTGGGGAAGTGGTAGCTGACTTTAATTGTGCTGCCACCAGTGCTCTTGAAATGCCTTACAAACAGCAGTCTCCTGGGAGCCCTTGGGATGAATACAAGCGAATGTCATCCTGGAAGGATCCTCTCCCAGCTGCTCAGTGTAAATGGCAAAAGTCATGATTTGCTCAGATCACAGGAGCTTTTAATTCCTCATTTAATAACAGGTTTCCCTGGGTGGCATATTGCTGTCACCCTTCCTGCTGGACGTGTGGAAGGGGCAGGCAGGAGGAAATGTGCTGCACGCGGTGGAAGGGGACTTGTGTGGGGTGTGAGGTGCTGAGCTCAGTAAATCCCCGTTTGGAGGATCCCTGCTCCCATCCTGCCCATGCTGTGGACTCCCTGGCCACTTCAGGGAGTTGTTTGCTGGCCTGTACTGATTGCTGGGGTTGGGCTGATCCCTGCTCTGAGCTGCTGGGTGGGCTGTGTGTGCTGGACCAGGGGGACCATGTAGTCACTACAGAGCAGGTTCCTGTTGATTTAGAATCATGGAATCACAGAATGGCTTAGGTTGGAGGGGACCTTACAGATCATCTTGTTCCAGCCCCCAGGTTGGGCTGCTTGTAGCCCACGGTGACTGTTCATAAGCCCCAGACTGAGTGATGTGTTTAATGAATGGTTTTCAAGGGACAGTTGTCTGGAAGACCCTGCAGATTCCCATCTGTGCTGGGTGTTTTCCATTAGGCTGTAGGTTGTTACCCTGGCTCTGTGCAGCCCCTTCTCGGCAGCACAGAGGCAGGAAGATGCCGAAGGCAGCGCTGAGCTTTGTTCTGCCTGTCACTTGCAGTTGTAAATCTTCTGTGCTCACAAACATCAGAGGTTCCTGATGAAAACATGTTGCCTGTGAGCACCTCCTCTGTGAGAAGTGCAGAACTGCCGGCATCAGGAGTCCAGCCAGCTCCTTTTCTGAGAAATCTGCTCATCAATTCCTGTTTGATTCCTTTTGGTTTTACTTCTCAGGTCACTTCACCTGGGAGAAATACCTGAAAGAGACATGTGCCATCCCAGCTCCTGCCCATTGCTTCAAGCAGGTAAGGGTGAAAACAAGAAAGGTCAAGGGTGATGGTCCACTGGGGACCCCCGAATTCTGTGCCTGGGGTAGGCCCCTGGTTTGGCGAGGAAAATACTTAAGGATGTTGGAGACTTAACAGAAATCTAAGTGTGCTGAAGCAAAGATTAAAGAGATACATTTAGAGTAGAACAGGAGATTTTACTCTTGATGTGCACAATGGGAACATGAGTGTGCCCTTACTCTGCCAAGCAGAGACCCTTGGAGAAAGTGTCCTGAGTAGGCTGGGATCCAGCTTTTGGTGGATCCTGCCCAGTAAGGAGATTTTCTGCAGAATTCACCCATCTTTGTGAATGGAATAGCAGCCCCCTGGGCAGCAGGCATTGAGCACAGAGGTGGTTTTGCTGAGTACAGAGTTGGCAGGATAAATTGCTGTGGGACACGGGTCTGGGTGGAGGGGAGTAGCACAGGGAGGGGTTTATTTGGATCTGGGGTTGGCTGGATGAGTCTTCCAAGAACAGGGCTAACCTTCCAAGAACAGGTGCAGCCCTACCTGTGCTGAGCACTGGTACGGATGCACCTCAGATTCTGGGTTCTGTTTTGGGCCCCTCACTGCAAGGAAGGCATTGAGGGGCTGATCCATGTCCAGGGAGGGGAATGGAGCTGGTAAGGGTCTGGAGCAGCAGGAACAGCTGAGGGAGCTGGGAGGCTCAGCCTGGAGAAAAGGAGGCTCAGGGGGGACCTTCTCACTCTCTATAACAGGAGGGTGGGGCTATGTGGGGGTCAGGCTCTGCTTCCAGGGAACAAGGGACAGGACAAGAGGAAATGGCCTCAAGTTGTGCCCGTGGATGTTTAGGTTGGATATCAGGAAAATTTCTTCACTGAAAGGGTGGTCAGGCCGTGGAACAGGCTGCCCAGGGCAGTGGTGGAGTCACCGTCCCTGGAGCAGTTCAGAAAACATGTAGATGCCTGGGGACATGGGTTAGTGGTGCACTTGGCAGTGCTGTGGGAATGGTTGCACTCGATAATCTTAGAGGTCTTTTCCAACCTCAGTGATGCTGTAATTCCAAGAGAACAGGCTCAGTGTCGTTGCTGAGCTGGTGCAGTATGGAAGGACAGTGCTGTGTGTCACAGAGCTGCCAGGGCTCACTGACCTGTCTGTGGTGCTGTCCCTGTGCTGTGCCCGGGGGACGCCTCAGTCCTGGCTGGGCCCCGTTCTTATGCCCTTGGTGCTTAAGCTTTGTGCCTGAGCTGGTGCTTGTGTTGGCAGTCCTGGCTCTGACCTGCTCCCCGTTCCTCTCCTTGCAGTCATACACTCCACCTGCCAACGAGTTCAAGATCAGTATGAAGCTGGAGGCCCAGGACCCCCGGAACACCACGTCCACGTGCATCGCCACCGTGGTGGGGCTGACGGGCGCGCGCCTGCGCCTGCGCCTCGACGGCAGCGACAACAAGAACGACTTCTGGCGCCTGGTGGACTCTGCTGAGATCCAGCCCATTGGGAACTGTGAGAAGAATGGAGGGATGCTGCAGCCTCCCCTGGGTGAGCTGGGGTTACACTGACTATGGGCAAAACTGGGGGGTTTTCATAGATCTGTGCTTGGGACAGAGGCCCGTGGCCTGCCCCTGCCTACATTTGGAGATAAGATATAGAAACAGATGTTTCCCAGACCAGGCCTGTATTTCCGTGTGGACACTGTGATGTGGATGGGGGGATGCTTTAGAGTGTAGATGAAAGAGGTCTCTGCACCAAGGTGAGCTGCTTGCCCTTGTTGCAGCTCAAGCTCGGGATTGTTGCCCTGGGTAGCTCTGGCTACCCCATCCCTGGAAGTGTTCAAGGCCAGGTTGGACAGGGCTTGGAGCAACCTGGGATAGTGGAAGTTGTCCCTGTCCATGGCAGGGGGGTGGAACTTAATGATCTTTTAACGTCCCTTCCAACCCAAACTGTCCTATGACTCAATAGCAGATTACCTGCACAGGAAACATAACATGTGAAAAATCCCAGTGATTTAAGTCCTGTCTCATGTGAAGGGACACTTGCAGTAGTTCCTGCTTATTTATTTGATTTTTCTTGGCTACAGCTTTATGAATAGACTGGTCAGTCCAACAGTTCTTCCAGTCTAGTCTTCAGTTAAACACACAACTCTTTCCTTTTTTTTTGACACTAGCCAAATGATGAACTGATTTGCTGATTCTTTCCTGATAATCAGCAAGATTAACCTGCTTTTGCATTCTGCTGCCCATTAGTTTTAGTGTCTTCATAAATCTCTCTCAATTAGCACATCCCCAAATAATATTTTTGAGGCCAGGTTGGACGGGGCTTGGAGCAACCTGGTCTAATGGAAGGTCTCCCTGCCCATGGCAGGGGGTGGAATGAGATGAGCTTTAAAGTCCCTTCCAACCCAAACCATTCTGTGATTTTATTAACACTAAAGCTGCCACTTTCTCTGTTACTTTCATGCCTGCTGTTGTGCATCTCTTAGAAATTTCAGTCCCTGGTGCAGGTTCCAGCTCTGGTGCCCTGCCCAACAGCTGTGGGTGCCTCTCCTGGCTGGCAGCTGTGGGTTCCTCCTGTACCTTGCCTGGAATTTGCCAGCAGATGGCATCAAGTTTAAGGAGCTGCAGATAAAACTCACTCCTGGCTGTGCTGGAGGTGAGGGATGAGCTCTGGGGCAGGTCTGAGAGCTCTGATCTGTGTCGCCTGCTTAACCTCACACCAGAGAAGAGGGCAGCTTTAGATTAGATACTGGGGAGAAATTCTTCCCTGCAAGGGTGGGCAGGCCCTGGCCCAGGTTGCCCAGAGAAGCTGTGGCTGCCCCTGGATCCCTGGAAGTGCCCAAGGTCAGGTTGGACAGGGCTTGGAGCAACCTGGGCTAGTGGGAGGTGTCCCTGCCCATGGCAGGGGGTGGAATGGGATGATCTTGCACCAAGCATAAAGACAGGTAACAGAGCTGGTGCTGCAGTTGTCCTTCTGCCTGCAGAGTGCAAGGGCTGAGAAAATCCAGCAAGGATTTCCTGTGTTCCCTGTAGTGTTTTCCATGTGCACACATCTGCTGCTGCTCCCTCTTTACATGGATAATTCCAGTGACAGGACCCAAGGGAACGGCTGGAGCTGTGTCAGGGCAGGCTCGGGTTGGATCTCAAGGAAAGGTTCTTCCCCCAGAGGCTGGTTGGGCACTGCCCAGGCTCCCCAGGGCAGTGGGCACAGCCCCAAGGCTGCCAGAGCTCCAGGAGGGTTTGGACAATGCTCTTAGGGCCAGGGTGGGATTGTTGGGGTGTCTGTGCAGGGCCAGGAGCTGAACTGTATGATCCTTGAGGGTCCCTTCCAACTCAGGAGATTCTGTGATTCTGTGATTCACACAAAAGGTTATCTTTGCCCCTCTGGGAGCTGAGCTCTCCCATCTCCTGAGCTCGTGGCTGTCCGGGTTAGTGTCCTAGCTGATAAGACTGTTGAGGGCTGCAGAGGGGCTGTGCTGAGCCTTGCAACCCTGGCAGAGCTTTGCCATGTTGCTCGTCATGGGCTGTTCTCAGTCCAGGTCCAGTCCCAGGGTTACCCTCAAAACCCCACAAACACAGACCAAACACAGCTGAGCAGCAGAAACTGCTGTGCAGGAAGATCACAGTTAGCAAAGAAGATGCTTTATGATATCCAGGGCCTCCTGTCAGTTGTGGAGTTGTACTCAGTGCTGCAGACTCAGAGCTTGTGAAATGTGGGTTTTTTTCTTCCCATAAGCACCTTCTTGTTATTTCTCTATTTTTTTCACAGAAGGTGTTGAGCCAAAACCTGCCATCCTTCCCTGTAGGGGTTAAATCTGTTTCCCAGCCAAGTCACAGCCTCTATTTCTTCAGGTTAGCTTGCCTGCAACTCACATTGAAGGTAGAGGAGGCCACCCAGAAGGTGTGATTCCCTATTGAAGAAGAAATTCCATAGGCTGAGTGTGCACTTGCTGATTCATGTCTCCCCGTAGCAGGATCCCTGGAGCTGCCAGCACTGGCACAAAATGCTCTGCCTGGATGTTCCATGGGCAGGCTTTTGTTATGACAAGTGAACCTTGCAGTCAGACAGCTGTTTCCAGATGTTTCTTTTCAACAACACACTACTTTGCATTCAGAGTATCTGGAAAAGGTCAAACCTGACTGCAGCATGAGGAGGAGGGTGGTGTGGAATCACAGTTGTGTGAGTTCCCATCAGAGCAGGCATGTGCTGCCAGAGCCAGTGGCCCCCACAGCCTAAAAGTCTCCCTCTCTGCTTCCTTCTCCTCAGGCTTCCGGCTGAATGCCTCCTCCTGGCCCATGTTCCTTCTGAAGACTCTGAATGGAGCAGAGATGGCTCCTGTCCGGATTTTTCACAAGGTATTTTACCGTTTGTGCAGATCCTTCTGGCATGGCCCCCTCGCTGCAGAGCACCCAACTTAGAGCTGCTGATCCCAGGGGAGGTGACATTGCTCAGCTCTGCCTTGGTGCTGCTGCTCTAGGACGGACCTGTGCCCTCTCCAGCTGTGTCCTGGCAGTGTCAGGATGCAGCCAGAACTGTGCTAAACAAGTAACCTGGGCTTCAGTGTTCAGGCTTGAGACATGAGTCTGCTTTTCACCAGGGCTGCAGATGCTGCTCCAAGTGGGGAATGCAAGGTGGAGAAGTCAGCACCTCTGAAACTTTTTAATGTGCCAGAGCTTGCAAGTAGAGCAGATATTGCTGTGAGGCAACAGTATGAGTTCATAGGTTGTGTTCTCACACTCTTAGTGCAGTCAGAGAGAGAAACCGGCTACAGACATGTGGGATGGGATGGGATGGGATGGGATGGGATGGGATGGGATGGGATGGGATGGGATGGGATGGGATGGGATGGGATGGTTGGTGAGGCTTTAGTGGATCTCAAGAGTAAGCCCCAGATAAGGGTAGATGGTGGATCTCTCACATGTCTTGCAAAGCTGAAGGTGGGGGAAGAAAGACGGAAGAGACACTGTCATATCTCAGGGTTTCCAGCTCTGAGATAATAAGGTGAGGGTATCCTCTGGAGGCTCTTCTTTGGAGCTCTGTTTTCTGCCTGTGGTGCATGACAGAGCTGTTGTAGGGCACAGTGTTCACGTGGCACATCCTGGGTCCGGTCCAGCAGCCAGCTGAGGGTAGAGCAATCCACAGTGGACTTTGTTGCCTCTTGGTTAAGGGCATGGGGCTGTGTAGCTCAGCCAGTGTGTTGTGGAGTGAACCCCACACCTGCTGGGGTTCAAATCCAGCCCACTAACTCCCTTCAGTGAAGGTTAGTTTGCTGATGAGGGCACAGCCCTGGTCTGGGGAAGCACTGGCATGTCCCCTTTGAACACATATTCTACTTCTTCTTGTAGGAACCACCATCTCCATCCCAAAACTTCTTCAAGACAGGTATGAAGCTGGAGGCAGTGGACAGGAAGAACCCTCACTTCATCTGCCCGGCCACCATTGGGGAGGTGAGAGGTTCTGAGGTCCTCATAACATTTGATGGCTGGAGAGGTGCCTTCGATTACTGGTGCCGATATGATTCCCGGGACATCTTTCCCGTAGGCTGGTGCTCGCTGACTGGAGATAATCTGCAGCCCCCTGGTACAAAAGGTAAGGCCCACGTTGTTGCTTTGCTGTCTTCCTCCTCCACTCAGCTCTCTAAATGCAGCACAACAGGCAGAGACTGGCAGCAAGGACACCTGGGTGCCCGGTCTGGCTTTCTTGTGCTGCTTCATGCATGGTAAAGGTACATGTGATCACACCCACGGCACTGGAGCAGCCTGGCTCAAGGTGCCGAGGAACAGCTCTCCATAGAGATGGGCAGGATGATGGCTCTGGGGAGGGACTGTGCTGTACAACACTGCTGAGGTCTGCTCTGCTCCAGGAATTTCCTTGGAGTCCTTCTTGCGTCTTTGAATCACATATTCCTGTGGAGTTTTTCTCAGGGGGACTGGGATAATGAGCACTGTGGAGTTGCAGGAATGTGCCTGTTTGTACTTGGGACAGTTTCCCTGCTCTACCTTGTGCTGTGAACGTGGGAAGAGCAGGTGTGGAGCAGATGTACCTGCCTTGCTCACAGGACTGTGACTGTGGGGCAGGAGTGGGACTGGGGCCTTGCTGCCTTGCCAAGGCCTGAGCAGTGACTGTTTGGACTCTCGGGCGTGTCTCTGGCTTGCTCACACTGCAGTTGTGTTTGGGCCCAGGGGAGCTGTCACTGTACTGAGCACATCCCTCTGGTGTTTGCTGGCTGGCAAGCCCTGCGTGTGCCTGTCACTGAAATGAGGGGCAGGAGAGCTGAAGGATTGCTTAGGAAAGGCATTTCTCTGACGAGACTGTCCCTCTGGAAAACCCAGGGTGGGCTGGTGCTGCCCTGTCAGGCTGGTGCTGTTGTGTGTCCCCTGGTGTGTCCCAGGGCTGTGCTCTGTGCTGCCAGGCTGGTGGCAGTGGATGGCCTGGGGTCATCTCCCATGGCCTGTGTGCAGGCCAAGCCGAGGCTCCCCTTGGGTGGGATGATTCCTGTTTATCTTGTGTTTCTGCGTTTTGCCTTGATGTTCCCAGCCTCTCCCTCTCTTCCTGCTGCTTGTCTGTGTCCTGCCTGCTGCTGCCTTGAGGGCTCTGCAGAGCACTGGGGCCCTCCCAGCCGGTGCCTCACCCCTCCGGCAGCGCCCTGGAGTCAGGGGCCCTCACCTGACTTCTCCAGGGTGCTTCTCAGGTACTGCTCGAGTGGCTGAAGACATTTGTGCTGGTGGGAGCTTTCCTGGCAGCAAACTGGGGGTGGAAGGTTTCAGGAGCAGAAGGTTTCAGAACCTTCCCGGGAGAAGTGGGAACGTCCGTCTGTCCTGTGGCCACTGGCACAGGGAGCTCTGTTCCTGCCCAGCCTCCCCTTGCCAGGGGCTGAAGCTGTGAGTGAGCAGAGCCTAGTTAATTATCCAGAACCAGTGTCCCATGGTGGGGTAACGTGGAGCCATCCTGGGAAGTATGTGCTTCCCCCTTGGCACGTGGCAGGGACAGGTTCTCCCTTTCACATCAGCTCCATCGGCAGCGACTCTGCACTTACATGGACAGTGACCCCCAAAAGTCATGACTCTCCACTCTCAGGAAGAGGCAGCCCTCATGCTCAGGCAGATTTCTGCTCTCTTTCCCATTTTTTTGAACTCCTGAGACGAGCAGGCATTGGCAGGCGTTGCATGAGCCATGCAAAAATGCTATGGAGCTGAGATCAGCCTTGTCTTTGTGGTATTTTACTTCCCCCTCTGTGGCTGTCGCCTCCCTTTCCTGCCCAAGACTTTCTGACTTCCACTTTGTGGGATTAAACCAAAAGAAAGGAGTACTGGGAACTTTCTTTTCTTTATGAAATTCCTCCCTTGTTTCCTCACTCCTCAGCCCTGCTGTGGAGGAGGGTTGAGCACGGTCCTCCCAGGCCTCAGAGTGCTGCTCCAATAAACTTTCTTCCTGTGCCAGCCTGGAGCCTGGGGGACCATGCAGTGGAGTCAGGCAGTTTCCCTTTCCTGGTGGGAATTCCTCTGAAATGAGGGAGACCTGGAGAGACATGCAGGGGGTCAGTCATGGTTATACCAGTCTCTGCTCACATGCTGAACTGACTGTGTGAGGTCTCGTGGAAGTTGAGGAATCCTGTGAGGAGTTAACTCCGAGGAGACTGATGGCTTCCTGGGGCTGAGCAAAAAGAGGCCTCGTGGAATGAGCTCATGTTCAAGGGAAGCAGAACTTCAAAGAGGGCAGGCTTGTTTACTTAATGCTGGTAACTTCATTCAGCTCTGATCTGTCTCTGCTGCTGGTTGCCAGTGGAGGTGGAGGAGTGCAGGGCTTCTCCCAGGCACAGCCTCTCTCCGGCTCCAGGGCCTCCCACTCCCACCGGTGTTTGCTTAGCTGGGGTGGCTGGGCAGGGTGCTGGTGGAGCTGGGGCTGGCCAGCCATGCTGAGGGGAGCTTTCCTGAGGGCACTTGAGTGTGTGTGAGGGGAGGAAAGGGAGGTCAGGTGGCGAGGAGGAGCAGCCTGGATGCCAAGTTGGTAATTCCACTGCTGCCTGCTGGCTGTGCAGCAGCCTGCTAGGAGAGCCTGTCCTGTCTGGATGCAGCACACCTTGGAGCTGAGGGTCCAACCCAGCACATGACCCAGGGGAAATGCAGCTCTGGGGGTGCCTCCTCACACGGGGGGTCCTGGTCATGTCTCCGCATCAGCCTCGGGCCAGGGTTAGAGGTCAGCTCTGCTGGGCTGCAGAACCAGGTGGAATGTGGGAGAGCTCATCCTGTGCATCCTCAGCTTCTCCACGCCAGCCAAGCAGCCGTTGGGGGGAGGCAGGTCCCAGTGGCCATCCCGAAAGGAGAGGCAGTTCTGTAGGAGTGCAGCAGACTTCCTCCGGCATCCCACTCACACCAGCAGGGCGTCCTGGGGTTGTCCACTGTCCAGGAATCCCCACTCCATTCCTCACATGTGGTGTACAGCATCTTACATGGCTTTTCATGCCCCTTACACACGTGCTTTCTTACCCTTAAACACATATCTGGGCTTTTAGGAATCCGAGGTGAGGTGGACTCCGTGTTGAGCTGCAGCTGAGGGCTGGGAGCTCTGCTCAGAGGGCAGGCTGGGCAGTGACAGTGACAGTGACAGTGACAGTGGCAGTGGCAGTGACAGTGACAGCTGCTGCTCTTGCCTTGCTCAGGAGCTGCTCAGCACCTGGGAGGTCACTTCAGAGTTTCAGAAATTACTTTTTTTTTTACTGTTTCTGAAGAGCTGTTTGCGTGGTCATTCTTGCTGAGTCAGGCACTCATCCTAGGGAAATACTGGCTGAGAAATATTTATCACAGCACAAAGACATAAAGCAGCTGAATTAAGGTTCATGGGGCATTGAACCCCTTCAAACTTCCTGCAGAGGGTTTGGGCTTTCTGTTGCAGAGTTTTAGAATTAGGGCAAAGCAGAGAATGATGTTTCCCCATCTTTAGATATTGCACCACACAAAAGCAAGGCCAGAATACACTGTGTGCACATTACTAACAACGTGGCTTTTTGTCAACAGAAGGCCCTGAAGGTGTGTTGGGTGGGGAAGGAGTTACCCACCCCTGCCAGGTCTGTGTGCTTTCATACTGTGACCCAGCTGCCATCACAGCAGGTACATTCAGGAGGTGGCTGATGCTCCTCCAGCTCAGAGCTTCAAGGTTTAAATGTTGTGATGCACATAAAGAGTGCACGAGTCTGTGCACTGTACCAGTGTTTGGTGGAAGAGTGATTTGGGAGGAAAGCAGAGAGTGAAGGAGTTTATGTCAGGTGTGGTGGGTTGTCCGGGGGGCGGCTGAGCCCCCTCAGGGAGGTGGGGGAGAGAATCAGAAGGGTAAAGGGGTGAAAACTGGTGGGCTGAGGTACAGACAGTTTACCAGGGGAAACAAAAGCTGTAGGTGCAGGGCCAGGCAGGCTCTCAGTCACTGCTCCCCACTGTAGGCAGGGGCTCAGCACCCCTGGGGACAACAAACCCCACCACTCCATCCCCCTTCCTCCTCCTTCCCCCAGCTTCACATGCTGAGCGTGGGGCCCTCTGCTCTGGGATATCCCTTGGGCAGTGGGGTCCCAGCTGTGCCCCCTCCCACCTCCCTGTGCCCCCCCAGCCTGGCACTGCCCATGAGGCCAGAGCAGAGCTTGGCTCTGAGCAGGCCTGGCCCAGCAAAGCTGAGCCGTGGTGAGTTGTGAGCCCTGACACAGCAGTCCCCGAGCTGTTAGTGCAGAGAAGTAACCCAGCTCAGCCAGACCCAGTGCTTTTGGAAAACTTTTGCATGCATTTTACTTTTTCTAACCTTCCTGGTCCTTGAGGAGCCTGTGGGCTCCTAAACAGGACAGAAACAATCCTGCTCTCAGGTCACTGCCGTAAGTGGAGCATGGACTGGGGAAGCTGCTCTGGAAAGTCCCTCTCCATTATAAGCACTACAGAAAATCAATATTTAGGATCGACCTAAAGAATAAGGATTGTTGTTTAGTTACTTTAAATCATGGCTGGGGAGAAAGAGAAAGAGAGAGAGAGAGACTCACACAGAAATGGAGGTGCTGCTGCTGAGCTTCAGGGAAACAAAGAAGGAAATAACTGTGATAAAAATCAGTGAGAAGAAAGAAGAAAGAGATAAGAGGCTGGTTAATGATTGTAGTTTCTGGGGCCACCTGCCCTCAACTGGGAGGTGGGATGATGAAAATCCCCCTCAGCCAAGGCATGGTCTTATAGAGAAATGTTTCTGCCTCTGTAATTCATGGGAAATTGGGGGTTCACAACCCATCACAGAGTAGAGGAAAGTTCAGTTCTTTGTAGTCAGGGAAGCACACGTTGGAAGAGGATCCATGAGAAGTTTTTTTCCTTTGTGAAGTGGTTTGTGGGATGGAGAGTTGCGAGCACCTGGGGGAAGAGAAACCAAAGCAGGATCTTCTCAGGTACCTCTGTGAGGCAGCTTCCAGCTCTGAGCTCTTCCCCTGGGGAGATGGGGCACTGGAGGGTCTGTCTCTGCCAGGTAAAGGCACAGGGCTGGGAAAAGGGCCTGGGCAGGCAGGATGGGGGCTTTCTGTGACCTGTGATTGTGGGCACAGGCAACTGAGAATTTCTGCAAGATCTAGGTCT